GTATTATAAAATCACAAGACACTATAAATTTGAATATGTGCTTCTATATACCTTTCTTATAATGTGTACAGAGTTAAAGAAATAAGAATAAAAACTTTGACTCAAACTGTACAAAAGCAAATTATGTAACCAAAACATGTGTACCCCCATAATATTCTGAAATTAAAAAAAAAGAACGAGAGAGAGAGAGATCTTTCCTAACATTGCATCTTCTACAACCCTGGGCAAATTGTCCCTCTTCTGGACTCTCAAGTAGCATGGCGCCATGAGAGTTATAATGAAGATGAAAATATCTGTGAATTAAAACATTATCTGTCTCTCTCTCTCTCTCTCTCTCTGACTACAAACCGCTTGAGGTCAAGGTTCATGCTTACACATAAATCTCAGGACTTAGTACAATGCTTAATAACATAGTAGGTGTTTGATATATATAAAAATAAATTGAACTATGAGGTAAATATCAGCAGAAAGATCAGACATTTAAGTCTAGAAGACCACTCTCCTTAATTAAAAATAATCATTCACCATAAATGTAAATCAGGGTGCCTCTTTCATCACAATTAATGTAAATTGAGTTATGAAGGTGAAAATTATAGCAATGCATAGAAATGAACATTTAATGGCATATACACAAAAGGTTACGATTCAAATAAGAATTTGAAAGAGTAGGACATATAAAATAATAACTGGTCAGTGTATTTCAGTGCTTTCCATGGAATAGCATTCCTTATTTCTAGACTAATGGTCTAATCTTAGTTCTTTAGTTAGAAATACTTTCATAACATAAATACAACTTATTAAATTTCTGAAGATTGATTTTTAAAAATTTCACCTTTTCATTCTAATTCTGCATACAAGATCTTTCCAGGTTTGTAAAATTGTCTTCTGAAGAATCCCACCTACTTTAGATGAAGCCTACTTATGAGCAGGAAATTGGTCCATACTTTCTGGCCAGATATAAATCTCATAATTTACATCATCACATTCTGTTTTGAATCACTACTTGGAGCATAGTCACCATGACTCAAAAGTTCAGAGCCTGATCAACTTTGGCTTAACTGATAAAAATAAACTAATAAGTCTTTCAAACTTTGGATAGTGGTGATGTCACCAGAGACTTTCTGGTCACAAAATAGAAGTACTCTGTCTGAAATGCACAGCTTTACTTATTACTTCCCTCTATGTCCATACCTGGACTAGGAGTTCAGGCTGCAGTCACAGCACAAAGTGAAACTGCCCTCTATGTTGAAAGGAAGTAGCTAATGACCAGATGTCCAGAATAAATAGAGCAATACTTAGATGTCGAACCTTTCCAAAATCTCTCTCTTACAATACAGTAAAGTGCCCTATAGCTTTCTAGGTTGCATTCCCCTATCATTCTTCCCTAACTCCTCCATCAATCATCTTCCTTTCTTTGTATCTCTTCCTCTTAAATGGTTTCCTCTCCTTAATCTTTAATAATGTTCAAATATTTATCCTGAAACATTTATCCTAAAACATTTCCACTGATTTGATCT